CTGACATTAAATGTGCATGGTGCCCGAGGGCTTCGCGCTGCACTGAGCCTGCACATCTCATTCCCCAAGTAGCCACCGCGCCTGCGTTCCCACGGTAGCAGCAGCGGCAGCCTGAGCAGATGCTGCCAGTGTGCTCATCTGGCTGTGCTTTTCACTTTGGGACAAAGTTCTATAGTCACATCTCATGGATTTCCTCCCTCCACGCTGGAAAGCCCGGACTGTGAAGATCTCATGCTGTAAAGGGCAGCAGGAGCCAAGTTCTTGGGGCTGCTAAGGATCTCTTTGCCTTTTCCCCTCTTTTTGGAGATGTGTATCAGAAAAGGGCTCTGCCTGTAAAGAGAGATTTTACCGCTCTGGCTAATGATGTGTAGCAGTATTGAATTTAATGGCAGACCTTGAAGTGTATAAAAACTTAAGTCCAGAAAAAGGTAAGACCCATGCTACCGATTTCAAGGTAAGTGATAGTTCTGGTAAACGATGGCGAACACTTCTTATTTCATGTTTAATTAAATATTATTTGAATTCTTGACAATGTATTTGAGAGATCACATTTCCATCTGAAATGAAAAGGTAACAAGATGGTTTTGATGAGGCAGAAGTGTTTTGTCCTTTGTGAATGTGCATTTTCATCATGGAAGAATTTGCATGCTGACGGATTGAAATTATTATAGTAAAGTGGTCAGTGAGAAGATCATTTGTATTCTTGGGTTATAAGTCAAGGACACAGACGTGCCTCAAAATTTCATTTGTCTGACACTCATAAGCTCTGGGTTGTAATTTAAACACTGTCAAGTCTTACTCAATTGGAATAATGATAGATAAAGTTGGATTTTGACTTTTCTACAGTAATCTGGAGAGAATGATTCCTGATTTGTATCAACTAACGATGGTCACAGACAGTGAAATAATTAGCTTTATGAGATGGAATGGCACAGGCATTCAGCACAGATAAAATGGAGGCAGCAGCTGTGTGTCATGTCCCAGGGTCTTTTGGCTCCAGGAGCTTGAGAGGAAACATCCTAAAGTAGGAGCTCAGAAATTTTAAATATATGGAGATTGTTCTTGCATCATAAGAAATGTTCCTGCCTGGTCAGACAGAATAAATGACATGTCAAAAAATGTCTGCTAAACTTATCTTCAAACTGAGATTTGTCTGTCATTTCTGCTTACTGTATGTGTCGGCTCACATGTAACTTTATCACATCCCTGTTCCAGCTGAGAGCTGTCTGGAGGCTGCTGCTGGTTCGTGGTACCTTTGTCAGTGTGTTGTTCGCAGGGCAAACACGGATGCTTGCTTTTGATTCAAAAAATATAGATTGCACCATGGTTGAGATTTCCTGAGAAAATCTGAGTTCTCTAAGCCTGGAGGGAGCTTTCCCACAGGTGTAGGGTAGATTCTGGTTTACTCGGTGGGCAGTTGGTCAGGATTCCTGTCGAGGGTTTTGTTTTTAAATGTGTGCAGGAACTCTTGTTTACAGAATGTGGGGCTAACTGAATGGCATAGCCTGCTGTGGGGTGGTCCTGATTTAGCCTTCATGAAAGTAACGCCGACAGGGACTTTTTAATCACTGTCCCCACCTCATGTGATCTTTATGATGAAAGTTAAAGCTCTAATTCTTCTCTTTTTTTAAAAATTATTTTATTTATTTTCATGTGGTGCAGAGGATCGAACTCAGTGCCTCACACGTGCTAGGCGAGCCATCTACCGCTGAGCCACAACCCCAGCCCAAAGCTCTAATTCTTAAACGTTATGGAAATTGGCTTCTTCTTAATTTCTCATCCATTAATGTTATGGAATTTATTTTCTGTCATAAGCTTTCAAAGTCAACTAACGTAAGGCGTCGTATTTCAAGGTAGATGTTTTCACATCCAGATGGTCTTACTAGAGGTTCCCCTCCCAAATTGAGCATACATTTCATATTTTTACAGAATAGATGTTCTTTGAATAGTTTTAATACTTTATTTTGCTGAGTAAAAAACTCCCTTTACTGACCATCTTCATTTTAAAATGATCTCAGTCTTGTAGCAAGACTGTTTTTCAAGAAACATTTTTTTATGAGTCCCAGGTCAGTTTTAAGAGGACTATTTAAATGATGCAGAATATGTATAATGAATAGATTCTGACTCTTCATGAAGTCTCAGTTGCATTATTAAACAGTAGCATAAATGGAAATAGCTTCAGGTGACTGAATTAAAAGTTGAGAAATGTTCATTCAGAGGCAGGAAGACCAAAGAGAAGAAGCCTAAGTTTTGATGGCATAGCCTCTAGTGTGAACTATGTATTTGCTTCTACATTTTGTCTTATGTATATCTTAGAAAGTAACTATTGTTATTATTTGCCATAGAATTTAGTGTCCTGTGCTCAATCTTTGAGCTAGGATTGGAGAATCATCTCAATGATTCTTAGAACAATACTGACAGAATCTAAGGACTTGAATTGTAACATAAAATCTACAGTCAGAGGAAGCTTGAGGCAGGTAGGACGAGTGCTTTTATATCCTTTTTATGTCCAGAAACTTTAAGTTCTATTTAGAACTAGATACAGTACTTCCTTGCTTGTCTTTCAGGGCTGTGGAAAGAACTCTTGGTAGACCCTGAAAGCATTTGGATGATGAAAAAGGTTTATAGACATGTAAGATGATATAGTCACAGAAATTAGAATAATGTACATTTCATTTACTTTCATTGAAAGGAAAGTGTATTTGTTTTGGGGTGCCAATAAAAAACACTTTGACCTAGCACTTGGGTACCATCTGCCGCTCCTTCTCCCCATGGCTCAGCGTAGCCCACACGCCTTCACGCTGTGTCTGAACGCCTTGTGGAAGGGCAATGTCAATATAGGAGCAAGCCCCAGAGCTCAGCAGGAGGAAAATAGCAGTCTGTTTCCTTTATGAGGAGAGGCAGCGGGCATGGAGAGGCTGTAGGGCTTCGGGAAGACAATGGACCCACAGGAGAATCGAGCCCTCTGGTCCCCAGGTCCTGGTGGCTAGACTTTCTCTATTCAGTTGCATTGATCTTTGCTCTTTAGGAGAACATCTGATGCAGTGATTTCATTGATGTATCATTTAAATTCTTAGCTCTTGTGGTATTCTTAACCAATAGTTAATTGGTGCAGTCAACAGAGATGTAGTGCTTCTTTATGTACAAGGTACTAGTTGGGGATATGAAGACGAATGGAAGTGTTTGCTTCCCTGTTAGTAACTCCTGGTCTGGGGGCACACAGGCTTATCTTAGGCTCATGTGTAACAGAGGCTCATCTGAGGGCCTCAAGTGTGGAGGAGATGGCATGGGATTTTTGGAGGTGACGTTTGTATTGAACCTTGAAGGACAGGAGGATTAGATCAGGTGGATAAGCCAGGATTGGAGTTGAAGAAGTAGGCTAAGGCCAGGTGTTATAATATAAGACTTGGTAATCCAGAGGAAGGGATTTGGACATTATTAAAAATGTGGTGGGGGGTATGTGGGAGGCAGAAGTTTTGAGCTGGGGAGAGATTAATCAGATTCAGTTTTAGGGAGATCTCCCTGACAGCAGTTTAGAGCTAGACAGTGGGAGGGTGAGGCTGGAGCAAGGGAGACCAGAAGGCGGCTGCAGCAGCAGGTGAGGCACGGGTGATGTCCACCCCGGCCTGTTAGCCCTGTGGCCTTTCATGAGCACACTCTGGGCTCTCAAGTCCACACTGGCATCCTTTGACGTGATCGGAGCAGCCCCAGCTTTGCAGTGCCTCTTGGTCTGCCCTATGTCTGGATAAGTTTGCATTGTGAATATTTTGAATTATGTATTTTTAAATTAGGAAAACAGTCATGAAATCGAAATATAACAGTATAGAACAACTTGCAGCAAAATCTATGGCTCTTCCTCTTAGCCTTCTTCATCTCTGTCCTAAATAGGGTACTTTCAGCTCGCTCACCTTCCCTTCTGAAGGGTTCATGTGGCTTTCCTGTGTCTCAATGGCTGCTGGTTGCTGACCTGTCAATTCTTGATATTACCTTAGATTTTCTCCTATGGCCACTGAGGGATTGACTTGTGGGATTACCACTCTGATGGGTGCCTTTGTCACTAATGGTTCATGTGTTTTTTGGTTCTGGGCATTGAGCACCCGACCACTGAGCCTCCCGGCCACTGAACCCCCACCAGGTCCTCACTTGCATGTGCCTGCTGGAACTCCTCACCTAGGACTGCAGCTCTCCCTTTACCAGTCCTTTTTCTTTTTACCCCAAACTTCTCTCAGTATAATAATTTCCCCATTTTTTTCTGTATTCATAATTATTTCCATGTTTTGGTCATAGATTGATTTTAATTAATTAATTGTTTTTGGTACCAGGGATTGAACATTGGGGGTGGGAGGCTTAACCACTGAGTCACATCCCCAGCCCTATTGTGTGTTTTATTTAGAGACAGGGTCTCATTGAGTTGCTTAGCCTCACTGTTGCTGAGGCTGCCTTTGAACTTGTGATTTTCCTGCCTTAGCCTCCCGAGCTGCTGGGATTTACAGGCATGTACCACCATGCCTGGCTGATTTTAAAAGTTTAGTTATTGGGCTGGGGACGTGGCTCAAGCGGTAGCGCACTCGCCTGGCATGCGTGTGGCCCGGGTTCGATCCTCAGCACCACATACAAAGATGTTGTGTCTGCCGAAAACTAAAAAATAAATATTAAAATTCTCTCTCTCTCTCTTTAAAAAAAAAGTTATTAGGAGACCAAGTTTACATTGTTGTAACTACATAACTTCACATTCTTGTGAATATATAAATGTTCACCAGAGCAAAGTGATCTGCCAAGCTATTTTAACGCAGGACTCTGCCTCAGACGAAAGGAAAGATGTTGGAGATTTTTTTTAGCAGATGATGGAGTTGAATTCACAGCTGGCAGTCTTTGTCATGCCTCTGTGAGGCGGGTACAGGTATTATCTCCATCTCCAACTGATTGCAAGGTGCTCTGCTGTCCCTCTGAAGATGTCTTACTCAACTTCTCATACATAATTCAAAATATTTACAATGCAAACTTATCCAGACATAGGGCAGACCAAGAGGCACTGCAAAGCTGGCATTCCCTTGTTGAGTTCTTCCTGAGCTGAACGGAGACCAAAGGCAGCTGCCTGGTGGACTTCATAGGGTAAGAGTGGTGAGTGGGCCTCGCTCTGCAGGGTTTCAGTGTCCCTCTGAGGAGCTGGGCTGGCACCAGGGAGCAAGGAAGAAGATGGAGCACTCTAGAGTAGACGGGGGATATAGAGCAGTGTTTTGGGGGAAAGCCCAGAGGTGCTGGGAAGAGTAGGTCCAGCAGTCAGAGGTAAAGGACCCTGTGATCTACTTGAGAATTTGGTTCAGGCGTATGAAGGCCGTGAACCCTGGTCCTTGAGGCTTTGATAGATGATCCTGGTCCTTGAGGCTTTGATAGATGATCCGTTACTTCTCCGATGACATGTCAGCAAAACAGAAGCTACCCTGAGTGAGCTAGAGTTACTCCGGCTGTCTGAGGAGGAGAGAGTGATTGCCCCCACGCTCTGTTAGAGACAAGTCCCGGGGATGTGTGGGGCAGAGGCTTTTGTCTGTTGGGAGACCTGTTGCTTCTAGCTTTTCCTTAAGGTCTATGGACAGTCCGTTTCCCCAGGGAGAGTGTTCAAAGACAAAACTCAGGATCTGCAAGCAGGGCCCAGGCACCTCCTCTCTGTCCCTGCCTGAATGTAGATATGAAGTTGGCAGAGAAAAGAAGGGACAAAGAGCTGTGCTCTTGTCACTTACAGTTTCCATCTGCACATTCTCCCTCGTGTCTAAGTTCTTCCATTATTATTATTATTATTTTTAAATCAAGCAACAGTGATTTGTTTTAAATCCTAAATTAAATCCCTCTTGTGTCCCTGACTCCTCAGGCAATGCCAAGTCGATATTTTGGCCTGTGGACTTGCATCCTGCCAGGGCTGTGTGTGCACACGTGTGTGTGTGTGTGTGTGTGTGTGTGTGTGTGTGTTGCACACAATCGGTGGACGGAAGAGTCATGTCATTATTGCGGGTCTCCTAGCGAATTGGGTTTTTACATATAAATGAAGAAGAGTGGAATAGTGAGTTGCGTGGGCCGCTGTGTACCCCACCTCCCTGTTTCTGCTCTTGAATGCAAGATGGACCCCAGCAGCTGCCTCCCATGTAGAGAGCACCCCCTGAACTTGAGATTTTGAGGTTCATTTCAATGACTTTATACCTTCCTTATTTTCTCATTTTAATATTTTTATTTATTCATTTCTTTCCTCAGGTTCTCATTGATGGTTTGAAAAAATAAAGAGGCCAGAAAATCAACTAAGAAAATGAGAAAAGGCAAACACGGGGAGCATAATAAGTAGGAGGAAACACATTTCAGTGGGTGCTGGAAAGTTTTTTATTTATCATTTAATTTTCAAACTCGGGTGAGGACTCGCCTGGCCAGTCCTCGGGTCCCATCTTGGTGTGTACGTGTGCCCAGCTTGCTTTAGTCTCTCACCTTTGAACCTCAGGTTTAGGCCTTGCCATGGTGGGTGGAGAGTGGGAGCACAGGGGACGCAGGTGGCTGTGTTCAGGGACTGGGCCTTTCTGCTCTGCTTCTATTTCTTTCCTCTTGCTCTGGGCATCCGCTTTCCTGTTGGTTGGGTTGCTCCTTCAGGAACTCTTCCTTTTTTGCTTTTGGATTTCTTTCCCCAGTTCCCCTCAGTCTGTGTAATTATTATTATTATTTTTTTTCTAGAAGCAAGAGGTATGTATCTGATTCCCTTTCACCTGTGTGCTTGTTTTGTCAAGTGAGAGAAGAGGGACACTGGACAGAGCCAGGGAGAGTGCTGGGAGTTTAACTCGGGACTTCCCCTGTGCTTTGTTGCAGTGGGTGAGACTATAGGATCTGGAATAAAATAACAGCAAAGATAAGCCAAAGTTCTGAGAGCAGCTGAGCTTTTAGCCAGTCGCATGGTCAGTGCCTCTGATGTGCAGTTTTCTTATGTAAAAAATGCAGGTTTTGTGTGTTTGAAAGACCTGTGAGCACAGATGAGATGGTGTATGTGGCAGGCCTTGCCCAGTGGCCCCGGGGCCTTTGGGATAGCTGCTGGCTATGGTGTGTCTTCCACATACTCCCTGCCATGCTTTTTCTCTCAGGGTGGACAACCAGCATCAATTTTCTACTTGTTCTTTTCTTTTCAGCCTTGTGTACTTATTCATTTGCCTAGATACTATGTAACCAAAACCCCAAAGAAGTCAAGCATGTGATAAAGGTATGGAAAAAAACTCCAAGGAAGCAATGACTTCAGGCCTTGGCTGAATTCATTGGCACCCAGGTTATTATTTAGAATATATAAATGCAGAAACAGATTATCCACTGTATTCTGATAATCCCAGCTCACCCATAATACCCATGCTCCTTGAGGAGAATTAATATCCAGTCATTTGTGCTGACTTCTTTGTTATGCTAAGTCTTTCCAATTTAAAAGTGGCTCTGTGTCTCGCTACTCAGCATGGCTATATAAGCAAACTGGAACCTTGCCGAAGATGACAAATGTCTTCAGACTCTTCCCTAGAACAGAGAGGATGTTCTTGGAAAATACAAGGAAAGAAGAGTAAGAAATGGTTTATCGGTGCTTCCAAAAATTGAATGATCTGGACACAAGTTATTTTGCCTTCTGAGCTGGCAAAGAATTAGGGAAAAATAAGATGCTACTGCGTGTCAGAAAAGTTGTGGGAAAGTGGGTGCTTTTCTACACTGCTGCTGGTGGGCATCTGAATGAATATAGCATCATCTTTCTGGAGAGCAGCTTGATGGTGGACAGTCCCTTTGGCTCAGCACTTCAACTTTCAGAAATTAGTCCCACAAAAGTACTTGTGCATTTGTACAAAAATGTATAACAAAGTTTATTGGATTTTTTTTTTCTTTTTGCAATAGCAAGAAAAGGGGAATACCTAAATATACCTTAGTGGGCAGCTGACTTTAGAAAAATGTATGCACCTCTACACCATGCGGTACAGCTCACGTGAAGTTCTGTGTGGATTGACATGAGAAGATGCCTATGGTTCCATTCAGGGGAAAATATTGTATTCCCATTTTCCGTAGTTCTTAAGAGAAATATAAAATGGGCTTCAAAGTTTATGCTTCAAATATTAGTACTGGTTACTTTTAACTATGGGATTATTTTTGACTTATTTTCTTCATACCTGTTTGTATAATTGGCATGCCTTACATTTATAATTAGAAAAAAAATCAAACCTATTTGCAAATCAGGACATATAAAGAAATATCTTTGCGTGGCTCACAGCTCGTTTCTGACTTGAGACCCCAGAGGTGGCCCAGCCTCCTTTCCCCCAGGCTGGGTGTGTGCGTGGCAGACTGCTGTCACCTCTCCGGAGTCCCCTTTCCTACCCTCTTCCCTGCTGTCTCTGTGCTGTCTACCGGCTCACTAGCTTGGTTAAGAACAGTTTCTTCTTTCTTGAAGGCCTCTTTTCTTGCCAGATATGTCCTCTGGGGATGAAGGGGAAAAGAAAGTAGAGAATCTCATGCAGTGGATTTGGGGGAGGAAATCTGAATGAGCAAGGTCCAGGAGCCTCTCCCCGATCACAGAGGGTCCTGGGAAGTGCGGTCCCACTGGGAACCCTGGAGGGAGAGGAAGTGCATGGCTGTCTCTACTCTCAAGAGGGTACTCGTTCCTTGCCTAGACTTGGGGATGGTGACTCAGGGAAGCCACTTATTTAAGGCTCAGTTTTCCCATTTGAAATCATGACGATAAGACCTCCCTACTACCAGGGCTGGTGTGAAGATGGAATTTTTTACTTGTTCTTTTCTTTTCAGCCTTGTGTACTTATTCATTTGCCTAGATACTATGTAACCAAAACCCATAGCTCCACAAGTTGTGAAGTGTCACCCAAGCGCTTTGACGGGCTTCACATCTCAGTGTTTTACACTTGATTTTTACCCGAACCTGTCATGTGGCTAGACCAGGCTTTGGTGAATGATGTCCTATGGGCCAAATCTGGCAGCTGACCATGTGATAAATAAGTTTTGTTGGAACACAGCCATGGTTAGTAGTTGGCATATTTTTGGAGGCTGCCTTTGGTCTATGTACAAAGTCAAGTGAGTACCGCAGAGACATTGTGGTACTCAACTGAAAACCTTTACTACCCAGCTCAACTGAAAACCTTCAATACCCAGCTCAACTGAAGACCTTCACTATCCAGGTCTTTTTGGAAAACATTTGCTATCCTTTGCACTGGAGTGAGTGTCTGAGGTTCTGTTCACTTGGCATTTAGCACAGGGTCTGAGACCTAGCAGGAACTCAGGGAATCTTTAGCCAGGACTGAAAATCTCCTTTTAGAGCCCTGGGTTCAAATATTATACGGCTGAAGGTCACTTCAGTAGGAAAGATGCCTCTCACCAGGGTGGATTGTACCATAGGTTTCTTCCCACTCTGATTTGCCAAGTAGCCAAGATAATCAGGTCCCCGGCTGAGTCCCCTCTGGGGTGCTGCCTTTGCCAGATTCTTTTCTGAATGCATGCTCATGCCTCTTCTGATCTTCATAATTGGAACAGTCACTAAACTGTGTGGTGCCTTGTTGTTAAGCCCATTGTGGCTGGTAAATATGTAGTGAGTGATCATTTCAGGGATGAAAAGGCAGAGTGAAGGACAGCTGGCCCAAGAGAGCTTTGGGAGTTCAAGCGCACTGGCTGGATAATGTTTGCGTCCTTGATAATGTTGGAGACACAATAGCCTGAACTTATAGTGGTACTTTAAGTATCCCTTTTCCTCCAGTGATTGGCTGATGTAAATTCTTGGTTTGCCAATCAGCACAAGTCCTGCATTCTGTGTGCAGAGATGGCACACTATGTGGTGGAGAAGAGGCTCACTAAGCTGCATGCACCAACTGCTGGGAGCTGTTTGGCATCTTGCACAGTGAGGGTTAAATAAGCCATATGTCTGCTTGAGGCATATGCGATTTTGTGGGAGAAGACAAAACAAGTGGGAAGATCCCTTCTTACCTTTAGAGAGAGGAGAGTTTTGCCTGAAGATAGAATTTCTATAGATATTGATATCTGGAGCAGCTGTCTGCTCAACAGGAATAATCTGGAGCTTGAATACATGGGCCAGTGTATGGAAGGTTGGGGAGGAGCAGAAG